AATCAACCATTGATCTAATGCTGGAGCACGATAACTGAAATCAGCTTTCGCTTATTATTTGAAACTTCAGAAAAAAAACTATTTATATCAAATAAATTCAAATTATAGTGAGCTTGCAAATACGACGCTGATTGTGGTGGAAAAGAAGCATCACGACTGGAAATAACAGTGCTTAATCATAAGCAAACTAAAACAATTGGCCGGATCATAGACTGCTAGTTGCTTATATGCTTTTTTTTCGAGTGAGTGATCGGTGCAAGAATGATGAAGAATGTCTGAAAAAGATCTAGTTGGTCAGTACATGAAGCTCAGAGCAAGAGATAGAGGTTCACATGAACGATTGTATGAAATTGAATGTGTTGATCATTTGAAGACGATTAGTGCCGAAAACCAAAGAAGTAGAGCTACAGAAGGAGCAAGATATCGAAATGGTTGGTAGTTCAGAATTCTTCAAGTAGAATGATCAATAGATATCAAGTAGCTTTTCTTGGTGATGGAATTGATGCGCGCTTAATCTCAAAGAAACAAAATTGACTAGAAAGGATTTACTCATTTATTCACTGCCATACGAACGGAAAAGACGAAAAGGGAAATTCAGACGAGTCATTGCAGAATCCTGGTTACTAATCACTCATTATAGTCGACTTCTTACGATTATCAATAAAAAATATTTGGCGAATTCATCTTCTCATTCTTTTTTCAGTCTAACTGCATCTTTCAGTTTGAAATTTTAATCAGCTGCACGTTGGATACATCCGCTACTCAAGTCTGGCTTGAAACAAAAAACATGTTTTGTTGCATGCTGTCAATATGGGTTAGACGTGCTACATTTACTTTTTACATTCTTTTAATGTCAAGTAATTTTTACAGTTGTTTCGTACGTTGAACCAAATGTTCTATAGCGAGTTTATAGAGATTGTGTTTAGCTATAATTTAGGTCAGAAAACCATTTCTCCGCGGAGGTTGCAAATATAACTACGAAAGTAGAACATGGAAGTTACTATTTGCTTTAAGCAGATATTTCTCTTCTCATTCGAGTAGATAACTGTGCTCAAGGTGAAGATCGAAAACTAACCTTACAAGTAAAGTTAACAATAAAGTCGTGCTCTACAAATTGCGTGAAAAACATGGGTATTCATTGAATTCGCAAATAATTACTGTGATTGGCTTTAATGTATGAATGTAAAGCTTCTTAGGAAGCTAGAAAATGAAGAAAATGATAATTTTTAAATCAAACTAATGTAAAATCATCTATAGAGAAATGATGAAAACTTTTAAAAAATTATGTGCCCTCGATTTAACGAAAAACTTAGTAAAAATAATTTCATGAAGCCAATAAAAAATCCAACTCATGAAAATATTTTTGATTGAAATATTCTTTTCACTAAATGAATTCGATTACTCTGATGAATAAGCTCAAAAACTTTATATGAATGAAATAATTTTGGTTTTTGACTTCCTGGATCATGCAGGATCACTGAAACAAGTTGATCTACATTTGTATGTCGCTTCTATTAGATGTGTCAGAGAAAATGAGATATCTACTCTCAAAAAATTCAGCATTCAATCCTGTTCAAGACTGTAAAACAATATCTGTTTGAAACTTTTCATGCATATATAAGAACATATGATATTGCCCTTGATAAAATACATGAGTTTCTAAGGTTATCAAAAGTTATTCTAGGTTTCTTCACGAGAACGTTACCCATCCAATCGAATAAATTAGGAACTTGATTGTCCACAGGAAGCTTCATCCTTTAGCTGTATGTCAGCCTTTTCTACACTAGAGCTTACCGCTCAGAAAGCATTTCTTAATTTCCAACTTTCATAAGGATACGATGTTGAATTCACAGTTTTGAAAAATTGAAAAGATTTTACCAAAATCGATCCAAACTCGAGTTTCTTGGATAAATTTTAAATTCCTTAAAGAAAGCTGTCGATCACAACATATCTAAAATTGATGATGATAATCAAATTCAAAATTTTCGCGAAATGAGAAAGAAAAGTAGAATTTAGGTGTTTTTAATTCTGTTATCATGGGCCAGATTGTCATGTCATTACAATCGTGTCTGGTCTCCTAGTCAATTGTCTCGTCAAGAAAAGACTTTGACCACTAGCTTTCTTTTGTATTCATAGCTGCCCATGATCTGCATGATCCACTTAGTGGTGTGATAGTAGCAAATCAAAATTGTAGAAACTTCCTTTTTAAATTGTTAATATTTTCGTGAAAACAAAAGAGGAGGAAAAATCAGAGTTATTCATTATTGGCAGGAAACTTCTTCAAATTATCAAGCATACAAGAAACCTGTCCATTGGCTGCACAGTTTCATATGTAATCTAACGGTGACTCGATGAAATATCAATGGTTACTGTCGAAACAAACGTTAAAAGACCTTAATTTCATGATTAAAAAGAAGTAGTAATTATTTTTATTATAATCAATTAAATTTGCACACGATACGACAAAAAGAAAAATCGCAGCCATTATAAGAAAGAGCAATGGAGATCCAAACAAAAGGAAACTGATAGCTAGCAAGAACAAAACTATGGTATCGGTACTCGAATTTCCCTCGTCAGGTACAATCACGCTAATAACAGTAAATAGAAGTACTATAGAAGCAATGCCGATAAACTATTCTCATCATAGAATATAACAACTCATATTAATAAGAAGAATTATTGTTGGAATTAGCAAATCATTTTAGGAATTCATCAGCGATAATAAATGGTGCTATCTTCTACTAATTTGTTACGTAGAATATAAATCTATTTCCAATCTAATAAACGTTCGATGCAAAGAAAACTTTGCTTGCTAGACAGTAAAGGTTAAATAAAAAGTACAAAGCGATAAAGTAATAAATTCGTTTTAGTACTTATATAAAACATGAATGATCACTTGTAAAGAACCCAAGCAGGGATAAACGATAATAAATGGAGATCGTAAATGAGCTTCGTTTATGAGTATTTACAAATGAAAACAGAGGGAATCGAGCTTCTTGTGGGCGATCTATGAATATATGCAAAGTCAAAAAATAAAGGTGTGGATCAAACTTTCATATTAAAAACATTCATAACCTACATTCTAATCTTTTATTGTTAGTATATCGAAGGTTTTCTACATTGTTTGGTAGCGCATTAATCTTCAGGAAAAAAAAACAAGACAAAGTATGCGGCTCATTCGATTTTTGTTCATTTTTGTGCACATGACTGATGCTGTAGAAATAAGATGTTTTATCTTTGTCAACGAATAAAAAAAAAGACAAGTGTTAACTTCAGCCTTGCCAAGTCGTAAAAGTTCTTAGGATCAAGAATTATAGAAATTACACTGAAAACAAACGAATAATACTATTCATCAAAGGTCCACTTGAATCGAATTCCGACTAACGATATATCACTTTGATGCCTAACTACCTGATTTTAGCACTTTGCAAATACAATCACAGATGTCGAATGCAACTATCCTAATATTGGTAATGAGCGAATAATAAATGATTTACATCAGTATAATACACACATGGATCAGTCGTGTAGAATCTGCCGATAATCTTGCTGTTGTCGTTGAAGGACAAAGTCTTGCCTAGAGGTATTACTTCTACATTAATACCACTTTGTAACATATTCAATCCGCATTAATCGAAGTCTCATAATATCATTTTGAAGCGTTAATAATTTTTTATATTTTAAAAAATAGAAATGTGACGAAGAGAAAAAACAGAAAGATTCATTTGTTGTCGTATATTTATTTATTCTCATCTATGACAACATTGAATAAAAATGAGATGAATGTAAACAAACAAAATCTTAAATAATGTGACTCTTATCAGTGACAACTAAAAGATCTGGTTGTTTTAATTGATGAAGAACTTTATTTTACATTAAAATAAAATAATCGAAATTATCTTCTAGAAAATTACATCCAGGTATTTGAGTTATTTAGAGTATAGATGTATTAAAGAAACAAGACTATGTACCTTTTTATCTTTATACTGTTAATATTTTTATATTTCTGATAGATTTATATCAATCGATTCTTATATTTTTATATTGGTCACGAGTGAATTCTCTTCTTTTATTTAATTTAATACTAATAAATAATTAATAAAAATGTAATGACTTTTCATACCTCGATGAGATACTTCATCAGACATTAATATTTAAAAAAAAAGCCTGACTTAACATATAAGTCAAAATAGAATAGAATAAATTAAAATAAAAGCAAAGAAACTAAACTATTTTCATCTTTATTTTCTGTCATACCTTGATAGTCATATGAAAAAACAAGACAGTAATACTGATAACTAATTAGATAGAGTTTTAATCCTTTTTTTTCTTTTACTATTAAAGTATGAGAGAAAATGAAGATGAAAATAGTCTAGTTTCCTCCTTGTTATTTTGTTACATTTCTAGTTGTATGTTAATTCAGGCCTTTTTTAAAATATTAACGTCTGACAAAGTATCTGATCGAGGTATGAAAGATCATTGCATTTTTATTAATTAATTATTAATATTAAATTAAATAAAAGAAGAGAATCTGCTCGAGTCAAATATTAATTCAACAATCTTATTATGACAAGATTTTCTATTGACTTCTCAGATTATTTTTATGTCAACGATTATCAAGTTTTATGAAAAATAACTTTTCAATAGATATTTTATCAATGTAAATTTAATTTTGATATTTAACTCGAAAGAAGAAAGGCTGTAAATCGAAAACAAATGTGTTAACAAAAATGAAGCCGTTTTCATGAATAAAATGTCAAATAAATGAATAAAAGAAATTCTGTAAATAATTTAATAATAAATGTTTAGAATTTTCGTTATGATTATCGTTCAATGATCATTCAATATGAACAAGATATTTAGACTTTAAACTATAATAAAAATCGTATAAATAATTATTGATTAATAGATTCATTATTAAGAATAAGAATATAATAAAAATAATTGCAATGAACTTCATTCATAAATTGAATATATTTTTTGGTTTAACTTGCTTCTTTTTATTCATTCGAAACATCAACAAATTTAGGAGACTTTAACAAATGTAAGAAAGTATATCGATTCGACCGAACACTCAAAAAAGGAACATAAAACGAACGAAATATTGATCGCCTAAAAATAAAAACAAGATTTTTATTATAAAAGAAAACAACATGGATTTTTTGTTACCTTGATGGTAAAATCATTTTTATAGATGTTATTATTTGAAATTGTTGACTATAATTTGGTTGAATTTCACTGGGATTTTCACTGTCGTGATCGATGATATAATCGCATTGATTTATATTAACCTATTCAAATTAATATTTCATTTTTTTTTATTTAGAAATTTACTGAAAAAATAAGATTTGAACTTATTCATAAATCATATTTTGATCTGAACTCTACGTAATATGTTTTAGTATGTTTTCAGAATAAAGTTTAATAGTAATAATAACAAATTTGTCCATTGACTGTTGTTTTTTTTTTCGAAAAATGATATAGAAAACTGAAAAAAAAACCAATGTTGTTTTTTGAAAAGTATGGCCTAGTGACAAAATTTTCGAGCACAACTCCTCTTATTATTCTAAAATGATACTTGACAATTCAGTGAACGGAAAATTTTATTCAATATCCATACAAGATTTTCATTTACTTACGAGAGAAAAATCTTCAATTCTAATATAATTGAACTCAATTTAACTTAACATAGCGAAGAAGGATTTCATTTTGGTTGAGACTTCATAGCATTAGAAAAACAATCAAATTTATAAATAAGTAATACTTGAACTTTACATTCTATTGTTTGATTTTATTGGCTTGAAACATCAGTCAATATTGTCTTAATCTTGACAAGAAGGTTTCATTATTTCGTATTCTAACTAAGTTTTAATTCACGAGGAAATCTCATCAACTAGCTATTCATTTTTGAGTCGAGACTATATATAGGTGTTGATCATAACTAGCTCGATGAGTAACCTGAAGTGAACCACCGTATTGCTACGGAAATCTTAAGTTTTAACGATATTTTTTAAGTTAATGCTTTAATTCTCCTCAGAAAAACTTATTCTTAGATTTCAATTGGAAACTTTATACAGAGATAGACTTGAACAAAAATTGTTTATTATCAAATTTTCTGATCTTTTAATTTACTGTTATCCTGAGAAAAAGAGCATCAAATCTACCAATGTATATAAGTCTTATAAAAGACCCCCTTTTACAATTGCCGTACCTAAGAATAGGTAGAAAGAAAAGATCTCAATATTTGATAATAAACTATTCTCGTTAAGTCACGTTTCGATGCAAAGTTCTAAGTCAAAATTCGAAAACCAATTTTCTTGATGTTCCTAAGAGAAGTCACGACATTATGCTTAAAATATACTGTAGAAAAAACAATAGTATCTTTACAGCAATAATCTAAGGAGTCGAATTCTTTTCAGGCGATTCAAAGCTTCTTAGACCCAATAAATATTGTAGATAAACTTGATTGAAAAAGCAATGAATTATTTCGATACGTTTTCTGATTTTACTATACTATTACATTGAGATTTAATGAATATTAACAAATAAAATGTTTGGTATGAAAATGAGTAAAACTTACATATCGATCAATTTCTTCTTTATTTTCATCATTAAAATGATTCTCTATTAATCGAGTTGCATTTTTCAAGTGACTATACGCTTTTGGTAATTGACCTGTAAACTCTGAACGAAGAAATACTAAATGGGATCTATGAAAAAAAAAAACTTTTTTTTAAATTTAACAAACAAAAAAATAGAATAATAATAATTTACTTTTCTGGTAATAAAAAATGTGATGGAAATCGATACCAATCTTTTCCAATACAAACATTTATATGTTGATCTGATGATTTTTCAAATATGCTTGTTGTATTAGAATGAGTTAAAAGACGAATTGGTGCTGAATAACCATCAACAATAGCAAATGTTCGTGATATAGATAATAAAGCATGAACAATTATTATTGAATAAAGAAATAAACGACGAACAAATAAAACTGAATCACGTTTTAATTTTATTAAACGAACAAGACGTGGAATTAAATTCTAATTTATAAAATAAATAAAAAATTTTCAAATAAAAATAATAATTTACTTCTATTTGATTAATACTAATTGAAGCACTAAGAATAATTAATGGATAAATGGGAAAAACAAAACGATCTTCCTATTTATTATTTATTCAATATTTTTTATTTTAAATTAAACGAAAATTTAATTTACTTTATGTGGTTGTAACCACAAAAGACTCATCCATATAATAATAGATGATACAATCATTGTATATGGAATTGCGGCTTTACCTAAATAAGATTTATTTTATTTTTATTTTTATTTTTTTTTATATTGAAAATGTTTTTTGCCTGATTGTATATAACGTCGATCAATCAATATATCAATAAATGGCTAAAACAAAATCATAGAAATATTTAACAAAAATAAAACAAAACCTCTCATTGAGAAACGATGTGTTAATCGTTATAGAAGATTTTTCTTAATTAATTAATTTATCGCAAAATTGGAACTTTAATTATTATATTTACATTAAAATATGTTTAGTTTTCAGATTTTTAAGCTGAAAAATTTTAAAAGATTCAGCTAAACAATATTTATGGACTTTTTAAATTTTAAAAACTTCTTTTCAAATCTTTCAAATTGTTTTGTTTTGTTTTTT